GAGGGGTGGGAGAAAGGAGACCGTCCTCCCAGTGCTCGTGAGCCACTGGAGAAACGCACCGAATCTGCAAGCTAGAAAGCATAGCGTCCCAGACTGGCAGATTTTGGGCTGTCACATCTGGGGAAGTGGAAAAGTGCTCTTTCATGATGTTTTCATGGCAGTAAAAAGTGCCGTTGGAAATGGGGCTCCGCCCTCCAGCAGGGAAAGAGCAAGTTCCCTATTCTCCAAATGGTCTGTCCCAAGGACGCTTTGCGGTCCATTGCCGGACTTAGTGGCGTTCTGGGAAGGGGGGGCTGCCTGCCTCCGTGGTGCTCGACGCGCTCGCTTCGCCCGAGGCGTTTGCGGGGGCGGTGCTGCTCTTGTAGGCGGGTGCCTTCGGCGAGGAGCAGGTATGGATGGCACGGCGGGCAGAGTGGGCTTACGGACCCATCATCACCCATCAGACTTCTCTCTCACCGCCTCGAATTCCTGGGTGAATTCACCGACGGTGTCGCCAAACAGGCCAGCCTGGGATATGGGCGAGTCAAGAAAGCGAACTTTGTCAACATCGCGCATATCTGCCAGGTTTAGCCAGAGGTGGCGTTCCTGGACCACAAGTGTGGACATCGTCTTCCCCAGTGCGCACGCGGCGGACTTAGTAGTCCGGAGAGCAAAGTCGGTCGCGGTGCGCAGCTCGTGTAACAAGCCTGGGTTAGACCCACTCTCGTGCAGCTCGGCCAGCGCCTGCGCTTGGTAGCGCTGGTAGGTGGCCATCGCGTGCAAGGCGGAAGCTGCCTGGCCCGCAGCCTTGTAAGCTCTAGCTCCGAGGGAGGCAGATAACCTACAGGCTTTGGACAGGAGATGGGGCGGACCGCGCAAAGTAGGGGCGCCACGCGGACAAAGATTGACTGCAATGGCGCGCTCCACCTGCGGGATCGCCTCATACCCCCTGGCAGCTCCACCATCCAGGGTGGTGAGGGCGGAGGCGGACGCAGTGCGGGCAGAGAAAGGTGCCCTCCAGGACTGCGTGAGCCTACTGTGCACTTCCGGGAAGAAGGGGACGAGAGGCTTCAAAGGCTTCGCCTTTTGGTCCTCTACGTAACACCCATCTAATCGGTCCGGCCGCGGGGCTGGGGGATGAACCATCTCCAACTCGACGGCCGAAGCAGCCCGAGAAAGCACGGCCAACATGTCCGCTTCAGGATCCGTTTTGACGGCGCTCTCTTGCCCAGAGGGGGCGAGCGGGTCCAGATCATCGTCGGACAATGAAAGCCCACCCTCGATGCCGCGGAGGACATTTGATCTCCGGTGTCAGCGAGCGTGAGAGCTACCATCTGATTAGACGGATCACTCCCAGCACCTGAAGCTTGGATGGAGCGCTTGGAGGAGCGAGAGGTCCGCGAGCCCTTAGGCGGCGGATTATCTTTCGCTGGAACCCTCAGATCTGCCCGAGCGCCCGATGCAGAGCAGGAGGCGACTGGGGTGGCTCGCTCTCTTACGAAAGTTAGCCGCGATCTCAACTGCGCGACGGTCATGGCATCGCAGTGACGACATGAACCGCCCCTGAGCACCACATTAACATGCTGGACCCCCAAACATGTAATGCAGTGATCGTGCCCATCATCTGGAGCCAGGAAACCCCCGCAACCAGAAACGCACAGTTGGAGCACCATCCTGAAAAGGACATGCTGCACGACTGTGTTGCTCTTTTAGGAAACTGCAACAATACGCACCGCTCTGGAGGACCAGACCCAAAGGGACGCCAGGCAAGGGAGAAAACCCAGCTCGACCGTCTGCCGCTGCGTGGACTCCCTCTGGACCGGGAGACACTCGTTCGCTCGATGTGGCTGTAGACAGCAAGAGGAACCCTCATGAAGCTCGATCAGAAAAGTCTCTGAAGCGAAAAGGATAGCGTTTGCTGGCGCCAGGTGTGCTTATATGCTCTGTTAATTGGCGATGCAGCACACCTGCGCAAGCTTACGCGGCCAATTCATTGCTTTCATTGGCCCGTTCAACATCAAAACATCAAATCCACTTATAGTACTGGAGTTCCCCAACCTAAGGGGAACAGCACAGTTATTATAGTTAATTCAGTTCATCTCATTCACGCCAAGCTGTGCATGCAGGGCCAGTGAGTGCTAGAGTTGGGGTTGAGTCCACCTTTGTCGAGTCCAAGTCGAGACCAAGTCCATAACCAGTCGAGAACAAGTCCGAGTCCAAAAGGGGTCGAGTCGGACTTAAGTCCGAGTCCTTAACATCCGAGTCCGAGTCGAGTCCGGCCGAGTCCAAACAGTCTTAAAACTCATTTATTAATTTTTCTTTTGGCTTAGTCCCTTTTTTATCAGGGGTCGCCACAGCGGAACAAACTGCCAACTAGTCCAGCATATGTTTTACGCAGCAATCCATTCACTCTCATTCACACACCAAGGCCATTTTAGTAAAATAAATTCCCCTATAGCGATTGTGTTTGGACTGTGAGAGTGTGTACCCGGAGGAAACCCACACCAACACACGGAGAACATGCAAACTCCACACAGAAATACTCCTGGCCCAGTCGGGACTCGAACCAGTGACCTTCTTGCTGTGCGGCAACAGTGCTAAGCACTGAGCCATGGTGCCACCTATATGTAAAAAAAATAAAAATAATAATAATAAATCAAATATATTTTATATTAACAATTAAACTGTTAAATTAATATTTTAAACTTTTGATACATTTTTACAAAATGCCTTGTATTTTTTGTAAGCTTGCTTTGAATTAAAATGAAAATAGGAGGATATATGTAGAATTTTACATACGTTTGACATTATTCTCATGCCACTTTCTCACATTTCTTCTGCTTAAATTACGCTTGTAGAGAGACCATTCGGCTTCACTTTTGTCTTAACAGGGAATTAACAGTCAGAAGAAATTTGTTCTAAATAAACAAAGAGTGAATAAATAGCAGGGGCGATTGGGTGCGAAATAAAACCCAGCGGGAATCAGACTGAAAAAATAGTCCAGTGGAGATTTCTAGGCTCATGATCTGGGTCCACCTGTTAGTCATAGCCTAAAACAGGGGTTCTAAAAGGTCCAATTCTGATTTTTTTTATTAAGGTCAAAGGTATGAAACAATTGATATTACATTACTTGTTTTTAATAAACATTCATAAGATGCAGCACGGTGGCACAGTGGATAGCACAATCGCCTCACAGCAAGGTCACTGATTCGAGCTGGCTTGGGGCAAAATAAACACATACTTATCTGTTCATTCAACTTTGAACTGTCTATTCTCTTTATCAAGTTTTATTTTCTGTGAGGCCGACATCTTCATCCATTCAAAGATCGCTTTGCTGCAGTGTTTTAAAGTAGGCGTGCAGGCGCGATTATCAAGCTTGATCATGAATAAGGCCCGACCCTAACCAATTTGGAGCCCTAGGCAAGATTTCAGGTGAATTCCAGTAAATTCCACTGCTAGTGTACATATACTCCTAAGACACTTATTAGCTTTGTTTTGGACATTCTTTATTTTTAATAAAGCAAGTGTACATTCAAAATACTTAGAAAGAAGTTTTTGCAACTCTGGGACACGTCGAAAAAATACGTAGCGATTATGCATTATGAAACCTGTGTAAGTTTTGCAAGTGGACAAAACAAAAATTAAAACAATATAATGATGATCTTATTTTAACTAAAAATGCTATGAAGCAGAAAGGAGAGATGAAGAGTCAGGCAGGTAAGATTAGGCCTAAATTCACAATTCAGGTCTAAAAAGACAACAGATAATTCTGATTCATTCATTCATTTATTTTATTTTCGACTTAGTCCCTTTATTAATCAGGGGTCGCCACAGCGGAATGAACCGCCAACTTATCCAGCATATGTTTCACACAGCAGATGCCTTTCCAGCTAAAACCCAATACTGATAAATATCCATACACACTCATATGCTATGGCCAATTTAGTTCATCAAATTACCTATAGTTTTTGGAATGTGGAGGAAAACCCACGCCAACACAGTGAGAACACGCAAACTCCACACAGAAACACCAACTGACCCAGCCGTAACTCAAACCAGCGACCTTCTTGCTGCAAGGCGACAGTGCTACCCACTGCGCTACCGTGCAGCCCACAGACAGTTGTGTCTTTGTGTTCCAGTTACATTTAGGACAAATTTCTGTTATTTATTTAGAATTAATTGTATAGTAATATTAAAAATAATATATATATATATATATATATATATATATATAATATTATAAATAAATGGAGGGTGAGGTGCTTTTGAGGATAGGTCATGGTCCTGGTCCTCAGTGGTGACATCAGCATACAACTATGCATAATTCTGAATAATTTCTAAATGAAACTTTGAGATGAATACTTATGCTATACACATATTCTTGCCCTCTGCCATTTGACTACATATAAATAGAATCAGAAATTAGTCATTATCAGATTCTCTCTTGCATATTCAACATGTATGGCAGATATATACTGCTGCTCACAATCAGTAATGTTTATTCTCACACAGAAGACACATTACCTGAATATTAATTTTTACACAAAGTCAAACCTCATTCTGTCTTTAAAAAGATTCAATTATTGCTGGAATTTGTGGACTTAGTCCAGTGATCATCCATTCTGAATGTTGACTGGATTTGTGCTTATTAATATAATATGCAACTCCAAGCAACATTATTACAACATTTTTGCTATTCCATCATTTAATTACTGTAATTTTACACTCTCTTTATACTCTCTTAACCCCACCCCCAAAAGCAGAAGTTGATCTGGGATAAGTTTATACGGAAGGTGTCCTGACCAGCATGCATAATAGGCTGCACTGATTCAGACGTTATGATCGACGCACATCTTTAATGGAAAGAAAGTGAATGCAGACGTTTTCATATTCATTTAATTCCCCATTTATGCATACAATTCTAAAGAAAATCTCCAATGACTACTTATGCATCAAGCAAAAAAAGGTCAGACATAAGGTCAGGATAACCAGAGGTGAAAATTAGCTCATCGTCTCCGTCAATAAAGAACCCACACATACACAAAGAATGCTTATGTCATGCTCTATAGCTGGCATCTTATCAGAATTATAAAATAATACTTTTCTACTGGCAGCTATACCTAAACATAAAAAACTCTTTCATACATTAGAGCCTTAAACAATTTATTCTTTATCATATAGTAAAATGTACATCTATTGACAGCTGCATGTCCAGGTGAACAGCTTAACATCAAACATAAACATGAATTATTTCAGCAATGGAGAAGTGCTTTGCTCATTAACAGAGATTCACCTGTACCTAGAAACATTACTGGGAGAGTATTTGGGTAAATGTAAGTATGGGCCTTTTCAGACCTTTCAGTTTAATATTGTAAAATAGTTTGTACAATTTGCATAATAACATGAAAATAACGCTATTATTTTTGCTAAAAAAGCATTAACCACTGTGCTTAATGCTGTGGGTATTTGTTAGAATCTATTAAGAGAACACTGTGCTTATCCCAAATACGATTTCAGACAGCAAGGTTCTAATCTATATAGTGAACTTAGTGGGTAGAGAACTTCAACAAAACATCCTGTAATGGTAAAGAATTAGGTCAATTTGCTGTGGCTTTGTGTGAATAGGCTGTGGGTTTTGATAAATGAAAGTGGACAGGCTCATAAAGTACTAACCACGATCACACCTCTGTTTATTTTCATCCACTGGTGTTTAGATCAACATAAAATGCACTGTAACATCAGGTTGCTCTTTAATACAAGATGAATGTCCTGACTGATGCCATTCTTTTCCACTCATCTTGTGATGGATCTGTTTTTCTAGATCCTTCAGGTCTTTTAAATGTCTGTATTTTTGAGTCTCTTGATGGTTGTTGGAGCCTCAGCAGCAGAATTTGGAACACACAGGTGTTGACTCTTCATTTGTGGCATCTGCAGCAACCTGGAGAGTACATGTCTTTACAAATTAAACAAGACAAACATCTATGTAATTTTGAATCAGTCCTATCAATATGAAAACAAACCTTAGTCCATACAATTCGACACAATACAGCAGTAATATTATGCGTACAAAACAAAATGCTCTGAAGAACTGTTCAACTCTTACTTGCATTGTAAGTTATTGCTTGTTTAAAGTGTCAATATTCCAAAGGTTTTATTTGGTAATGATGGCTTATAAAGAATAAAGGCCAAACAAATCAGGCCAATGCAAATATGAACAAGCTATAAACCAGGTATTTTGCATGGATCACAGACATTATGTGGAATATGTGGGAAGCGCAATGTGTCGTGTGTAAACAAAACAAATGTATATAGACTAAATACACCCAATGTTGATGTGTTGATGGTCATGGTGTCATGATTATTAATATTTACTGTATTTCTGGGATTCTTGGTAGTAAAAATCAGTTCCTGCTTGGTAATAATGTTTTTTTTAGGATTTTTTGAAGAAGTACACATGCAGATTCTTTAGCAGATATTCATAAATCACTTCATGTCTTCATATTTTAGTTATTTCACTGAATACACTAGGCCAGGGGTGCCCAATCTCTGTCCTAGATGGCCAGTGTCCTGCAGATTTTAGCTCCAACTTGCCTCAACACACCTGGATGAATCTTTCTATACCAAGCTGCGGTCACACTTGACTTTTCTCCCCATTCATACGCACACGGATGTGTCAGACCGGAAACGCAGGGTCATGCGTTAAGTTTCACATTTCGCTGCGGTGCAAAGTTCAAGCTTGGTGAACTCTGACCTGCGAAATCGCATTACTTGACTGCGTGAGATCAATCGAGGATCAAAACATGACCTCTCTGGACAGAAATTTAAAACATGGAGCAATCGCTCACTTTTTTATGACAGGAGTTTTGCACACACAAACTCTAGTGTGACAGCAGCTTTAGAGTTTGATTAGCTAGCCCAGGTGTGTCTTATTGGGGTTGGAACTAAATTTGTATTTCCTGCATCCTGGAGACGTGTGTCACCATAATAACACCACTCATTAGTTTATATAAAACCTTAAATAATGGCATCAGGTGACGCTTCAGCAAACTAAATGAGATGCATCTGTGTGTTTATGAACCAGTTTGATCACTAAGAGAGCTTAGAGATCATTGTTGTATTGTGTTTTTGTATAATATGATGTAACATAGAAATATAATACAACAATAAATGCTCTGCCTCGTCATGTTGGGTATATGTTGAATGAATAGTATAAAGCTAAATATTAACATAATAATGGAAAATAATAGAAAAGATAATATATATATATATATATATATATATATATATATATATCTGTACCAAAGCTTGATTCAGTTCAAACAATAAATGAACAAACAACCAAACTGTAGACAGATGCCAATGAGATTTGAATGGCAAATCCAAATATTTGCTTTTCTTTTTGTCTTTCAGTTTCTCTGCGTCACTGAAAAAACAGCATTCTCGATGTTTGGTTTATTGATAAACTACAGTCAACAGATGACAGACAATGACAGCAGGAATGTGTGCACAAATACTTTCATATTTGAGTGTGTGAGAGAAACTTTGTCAATGTCTGGTTAATGTTTTAGTCAATTGTAAATAAATGCTGTAAAGTAACATCCCACAATAACTCGATGTCTTTGTTTAACCACTTTTTACTAAATAAAACCAGTATTGAACTACTTTAAAACAGCTTTTGTCTTTTTTTTGTCAATACACTTAAAGTTAGTATATATGTTAAATAAATATGTGTTTAGAATTTAACTTCAAAGTCATCGGAAAAAAGTATTAATCTCTTGAGTGGTTTTAATTCTCCCCCTCTCAGAAAAAAAGGTACAATGAGGGTACAATTTTGTTCCTAGAGGGAACAAAATATAAAATTGTACCTTTAAAGGTCCCATATTGGTCCTTAGGGTACAATTTTGTACCCAAATGGGCTATAAAGGTACAAATGTCCAGATTTAGGTTTGAAAGGTACATTTTTGTACCTTTTATAGCACATTTGGATACAAAATTGTACCGTAAAGGACCAATTTGGCACCTTTAAAGGTACAATTATATATTTTGTTTCCCTATAGGAACAAAATTGTACCCTCAGCTCATGATAAGATCAAGACACTATATAACACTAATTTAAATGTATTAATACTAAACATTAATACTAAAATACATAATTTAAAAATATAATAAATAAATAAATTGATTGAATTAAATATTTTAATAATTAAATTTTTTTCATGTATTTAAATTACATTTTTTCTCAAAAATTTTAATAATTTAATTTATAATTGAATGTAATTTTAATCAATAAAAATGTAAATACTGGTCTTTGCTTACTGTTTAAGACCCTTTAGTTTATGGGATGTAGAATAAGAACCATGCAGAGTGACAGCATCTTCATACAGGTGGTGATGTTGCTGTCTCTTTAAGAATTTGGCTTGTTGAGACGTTATAGTAGTGTTTGTTACTGAGGCGGTCGGTAGTGTATGCTGGCTGTTTACACAGAACTTCGCACGCTTTTCAAAGAAAAGTCTATTTTGGAGTCCTCACTTTTCAGGTAAGAATGTATTAAAGATATATTTTCAGTCTCATTTTTACATGTGAAGCCGTGTTCTGTTGATTTTGTCTGACTCTCGGGTCTCGGCTTTCCCCCGCTTTAAGTGCTCCGGGCTGGCCTGCAGGATGGAGTTTGCTAAGATGTCTGCAGCTTATTAAATAAGTTAATACAATGTGATATCGAAGTCACCGAGGGACATAACGTTATAGACGGTGAGTACTATATGCTGTTAGTTTTCTCGGTGTAAAAGTTCCCTTTGTCGCCTACGTTACCTATTCGCGCCTTATATCTTACGTTACGTTACTGCTTTATTAATTAGTGTTGCCACGGCGGAATATAATCGCAACCCAATTAGCAAAATACACTCGGGCCAGCTGCGGCGGCAGAAGCGCGACGCTGCCGTATCCGTGCACCGGAATCGGGCCGTGACCCGTGAGTAATGTGCGGTGTGGCCCGGAGCTCGCGCGACTAAAGTCTTCATATAACGTTACCTTGATATAAAACCTTTTGTTATTAATACTGGAAATTTGTAATTATCGATAATGTTTTATATTTTGAGGCCATTTTTCTAGCCACGGTTGACCGCTGAAATGTAATTTTAGACGGTTATATAAGTTAAGTTACACCGCCATTTTGTGAAGAAAAATCACAATTTTGTCACCGACAAAGTGACTGATTATGTAAACGTGGCTAGTTACAAACGTGGCGTGCGTAAGTTACATATCTTCGTTTCAATGTCTTAAGTTACATTAATGTTGAGGAGTGTTCACAAACTCTCATGTCCAGAATTGTTGGTGCTTTACTATCGTTTAACGTTATACTTATGTTAATGTAGAATTATTAACATACCATGTTGTATAAATCGACGTTTTAAGTTATACTTTGTTCTTTAATGTAATAATTTGTCTCATCTGTTCTGAAACTGGTACCTTGAGCTATTTTACCTATTTTATTAATATCTCAAAATAAATAAATAGTTATTGCTTTATCTTATTGCTTTCCAGAAGTTTTTGAAGTTTCCAATTGTCTTTCAGGACAAGATTGAACAACAGAATGCAGCCTAACAGCATCAGACCAATGAAGGCATGTCAAATGAAAGCATGGCTCAGTTACAAGATGTAAGTATGTCTCATTATCTATACCATGGTTTTAATGGCTTACATACTATTTTAAATTTGTAGGTTTTTACTTACGAACAACAATAAATGTACACCCACATGTTTAAAATTATTTTCTAGGTTTTCATCGAAAGATGAGAGATCAACTGAAGAATGCTATGGACCTGACTCTAAGGTACTCTTTCTAAACTTTCTCAACTTGATTAATATTATTCAATTCTAGCTTTGTATGGATTCCTTCATATTTGTTTCATCTTATGTTCCAGGAATTGATTTTACAGCAGCACTTCTCATGTTGCCAGCCTTGTTAAGCGAGACACTTCAACATTTCGTTGTGCTCCGGTGCGTATGTTGTTTTCTGTTCAGTATATGCTGTGATAAATGCATTTTATAATGCTAGATATTCTTTATATTAGGATGACGCAGTGGGTAGTGCTGTCACCTTACGGCAAGAAGGTCGCTGGTTCGAGCCTCAGCTGGGTCAGTTGGCATTTGTGTGAGGAGTTTGCATATTCTTCCAGTGTTCGTGAGGGTTTCCTCCAAGTGCACCGGTTTCCCCACAAGTATAAAGACATGCGCTATGGCTGAATTTGGTAAGCTTATTTGTCTGTAGTGTATAAATGTGTGTGTGAATAAGTGTGTCTGGATGTTTCGTAATACTGGGTTGCAGCTAGAAGGGCATCCGCTGCATAAAACATATGCTGGATAAGTTGGTGGTTCATTCCACTGTGGCAACCCCAGATTAATAAAGGGACTAAGCCGAAAAGAAATTGAATGAATGAATGAAATTTATATTAGTCTTTTAATCTGTGATACTTTTTTTTTAATCAGTGAATATTAATTATTTTACTTTCTATGCATGTTGATTTTCTCTTCATCAGTGATAGAGTGACTGATATTAATGTAATTATTGCTTGTCATTTACAGTGAACCATCTTCACCACATCAAACAGTTCAAGTACAGGAGGAGGCCACCGACTGGACAACTACGTTAACAAGACGAGTCACGGCAGTCTTCAGAGTTGATGGGATTGCGATTGGCTGGCCAATGATGTGGACGAATATACATTTTTGACATATCCATCTTATTAGAAGAACACCTTGATGTTTCTGCAGTGGAATGTTTTGAATGAACGGTGGACTGTGACAAGCCTCGATCTACTCCAGTTACCAAAGTGATCAACCTTGTTTTTTGTTTCTCTACATGCTCTTGGGATAATCACAATCATCAAGTTAATCCAGCACACTGCTATCATTCATGCATAAAGCACATTTTTAAATAACTTGTGGTCCTAATGACTATCAAAGAACATTTTCCAGATATGAGTGCCTTACATGTCATGTTTATCAAAAACATAAACACATATTGTGTTACAACAAATTACAACTCCACTTGAGGATGATGAGGAGTAATCTACTGATGTATTTGGTTTTCTGCACTGTTGAAGCAATTTACAGAGAACGTTTGCCTTCATTCTGAAATTCAGAGAAAATGTTGATGACAAATTATTTATTATGACCGAGTATTCTGACTAAAGACAAATACTTTGGACTTTGTAAAGTGCAGTACTTGATGTAGCCTGTGTAATGTGTTTATAAATCTTAAACAGTATTCTTGTGGTCTTTGTATTAAGTTAAGATTTAGTTTTTATTCTTATCTAAATTGTTCTTTTTACTGTTTTACATGTCTGCTTCATACTTGCTGTGTAATTTTATTTCTTAACACATTCAGTTGTGAGTTGTAATGAAATATTTCTACATTAATAAATAAAAATGGACATCTGTGAACCAAAATATTTTATTTATTTATTTGTGCATGCAGTCACCAAAAGATCAAAATGCCTGGGTCAGTACCCTGAAAATGCTATATAATATAAAAAGGTACATTTTTGTACCTTCGGTGGGGGTACAAAATTGTCCCTTAAAGGGTACAAATGTAGAAGGTACAATTTTGTACCTTTAAATAGAGGTACAAATTTGTACCCTTAACGGTACCACCCCAGTGACGGGCCATTTGTACCCTAAAAGGTACAATTTTGTACCTTTTTTTCTGAGAGTGTAGGGGGTTAAATTTCAAAGTTGTCTGTAAATGCGATCTCTGATGGCCTCTAGTGGTGTCAACATGAACAGCTGATCGACTTCCCAACCCTGCTTTAACAGATTTATGTTTCAAACAAGCCTGAATGACTCCATTAGTTTGTTTAATTACTGTTGTAAGTAAACTGTACAATTTATTTATTGTTGTCAATTCAATTCAAACATAAAGCTTGTATTTTCACAAAGTAACCAAAGTAACTGCTCACAAGCAAAACAACATCAGATTCAATCATATAACATTTTATGTGATGCTTCTGTTTCCATTTAAGTTTAAGAATGTTAGAGCTGTAAATATATTGTAAAAATACTGTGCTTGGTTATACCTAAATAATGATGACAGCTCAAGTTAATTGTCAGTTAGGAAGTGACCAAGTGATCAACTCAAACTTAAAGTCATGTTTTAGCACTATAAAGCACTAATTAAGTTGAATTTAACTACACAGGACATTTTTGGAAGAAAGAAAACAATTTAAAGTTAAATTATTGGCAAATACAAACAAGTGCAAATTCTGGCTAAAACAAATCAAAAACTAAGATAGATTGTCAGTAGAGCATTGGTCTTAAACTCAATTCGTGGAGGGCCACAGATCTGCACAGTTTAGCTCCCACCACCTCCAAATCACATCTGGTTAATGGTCTTTTGTAGTCTTAAATGCAGTAATTAGTTGTCTTTGATAAGGGTTGAAGCAAAACAGTGCAGAGCTGTTACTCCTTTTTCCATTTGAGCTTCAGAAAGCTATAAGAACTGACAGACATATGTGTAAAGGTTTTGACTCTCGGATTCTGGTTAAACCTTCAGTCGGTGAAAGATGCAGTTTGTCTTTAACCATCATCTGACCGCTTAATGGAACACATGTATGGTTTTGGTTTTAGCAGTTCAGCACACACTGTAAAAGATACTGGGTTTCACACAATAGATTTGTGTTGAGAAAACATGAAGGAATTGAGTTAAATTATTAGTTTTTACATTTACATTTTACATTTACATTTAGTCATTTAGCAGACGCTTTTATCCAAAGCGACTTACAAATGAGGACAAGGAAGCAATTTACACAACCAAGAGCAACAATGAATAAGTACTAAAGGCAAGTTTCAGGTCTGTAAAGTCTAAGAAGGGAAGTGTTAGTAGTTTTTTTTTTTTTTTTTTTTTTTTTTTTGTACAATTAGTGTGATATTCAAAGAGGCAATTGCAGCTTAGGAAGTGAAGTGGAGACTAAATAGTTGAGTTTTTAGTCGTTTCTTGAAAATAGCGAGTGACTCTGCTGTTCTGATGCAGTTAGGGAGTTCATTCCACCAACTGGGCAGATTGAGCGTGAGCGTTCGCGAAAGTGATTTTTTCCCTCTTTGGGATGGAACCACGAGGCGACGTTCATTCACAGAACGCAAGTTTCTGGAGGGCACATAGATCTGCAGAAGTGAGTGCAGATAAGAAGGTGCTAGGCCAGAAGTCACTTTGTAGGCAAACATCAGAGTTTTGAATTTGATGCGAGCAGCAACTGGCAGCCAGTGCAAACGGACTAGCAGTGGAGTGACATGTGCTCGTTTAGGTTCATTGAAGACAACTCGTGCTGCTGCATTCTGGAGCAGTTGAAGAGGCTTGATAGAGTTAGCTGGAAGCCCAGCTAGTAGAGAGTTGCAGTAATCCAGTTTGGAGAGAACAAGAGCTTGAACAAGGAGTTGAGCTGCATGTTCAGATAAGAAGGGTCGGATCTTTCTGATGTTATAGAGTGCAAATCTGCACGATCGAGCAGTTCTAGAAATGTGGTCAGAGAAGTTTAGTTGGTCATCAATCGTTACTCCAAGGCTTTTCACCATTTTGGATGCAGTAATGGTTGCCCCATCCATCTGGATTGAAAAGTTATGGTGTAGAGTCGGGTTGGCAGAAACTACAAGCATTTCCGTTTTTGCGAGGTTCAGCTGAAGATGATGATCTTTCATCCAGTGTGAAATATCCAACAGGCAGGCTGAGATACGAGCTGGAACCGAGGGATCATCAGGATGAAAAGAGAGGTATAGCTGGGTGTCATCAGCATAGCAGTGGTATGCTGCTATGCATAATTTTTACAAATTTAAATGTATTGAACATAAAATAATTAGGTTGTCCCCCCAAAAATACCTCAAGAATTGTTCTTTTAGCTCATTTTTAAACAAGTCGTTTAAAAAAAACAGCAAATATAATTTTTGAGTGCATATATATATATATATATATATATATATATATATATATATATATATATATATATATATATATTTTTTTTTTTTTAATAATTACATTAAATATCTTTTTTTAATAAAACTAATCATTATTGAAGATTGTACCTGTTAAAGGAGTCGATTTTGGGGAAGATCTGCAGAGCAGAAGGGGATTCTGGGTAAATATCGGCACATACAGCTGTGGTACTATTGACTCTGAGAACTAACGCCCTCTGGATAACTGTGGATAAAACATTTAGACATTTTCTGAGTTCAGAATCTGAATAGAAATATCAGTGTAAATGTGAAAGTTGTTCATGTAAGCTACCTGTAAAGTCTATAGTAAGTTGCACTAAAGAGTCAGTAAACAGCTGTATTTTGGAGAGATGTATGGGTCCATATCTGCCTGTCAGATCGCCAACCATACAGGCCAAAGCCCTGGTCTGAGAACAGTTGTTCATCTAAGAGAGAAGGATTTCTGTCTTAGTTATTCTGGATAGTGTTTGATGATAGACTATTATTGTATAGTTTTGTACATTTGTCATGTTGAACGGATTAAAGATCTCGTCATCTTCAGGACATGAGCCATCTGGGTACATGGGTTTATCTGCAATGTACCAGAAAGCCCATGAAAACTAGAAAACAATGAGAGAATTCAAATTCAGTGAAATAAAATATGTCGCAGTAATATGAAAATTTGACAAAAAATTAACTTACATTTGATGATTGCAGATCGACCTCTATCTGAACATCACCGTAACTGCCATCTGGAAATGTCTGCTAGGACTAAAGACATACACATCATCTCATTTAGCATTTATTTAATGTTTTTTGTGTGTATTATACACATTTAAACATGTATAACAAACATTACTGTAATATTTAAGATATTTGTATATTATATATTAACTTTAAATACATATTTTATGTAATATATATTTTTTCATTTTATTTAATGCACTACACCATTCTTTTATAATAAAATTGATACTTAAATTAAACTAATATATTTAGCTTAGAGTTGTAAAAAATGATTTTATTATTAGAAATCAAATAATATTTTTAAGATAGACAAAATATTTTAATGTCTTTATTAAATCTATTAAGTAAACAAAATGTATGTCTAATATTAATATATATTTTATATTCATTTTATTAAACATCATGCATTAATATTTTATATAGTATCTGTATGTTTACTTGAAATATGTGAATTCATGTAGTTATAATGAAACTAATTACGTGATTAAACATAGATTATATGAGCACAAGTACACATATATAATCAGTAAAAAAAATAAGCGTATGCAGTAAAAATTCTACATAATTTTAATAAATAATTTATATAATTATTTATTAATATATTATTTATTAGGTGGCACAGTGGCTCAGAGGTTAGCACTGTCGCCTCACAGCAAGAAGGTTGCTGGTTTGAGTCCTGGCTGAACAAGTTGGCATTTCTGTGTGGAGTTTACATGTTCTCCTCGTGTTCGTGTGGGTTTCCTCCAGGTGCTCCAAAGACATACGGGATTAGGTTAACTAATAGGCTGTAGTGTGAGTGTGTACAGGTATGTGTGTTTGTGTGAGTGTGTCTGTGTGTAAATTGTGAGAGTGTATTGGTGTTTCCCAGAACTGGGTTGCACCTGGAAGGGCATCAGCTGCGTAAAACATAAGCTGGAACACTTGCCGGTATATTTTGCTGTGGCGACCGCTGATAAATAATGGATTAAGCTGAAGAAAATGAATGAATATTATTTTATTAGTTATACCAATAATATAGTATATAGACTATTATACATATTGTTGTGTATAGAATAAATATGCTTGCATTTAAATCTATTATTTTAAAGAAAAAAACAAAAAACATTATGCGTTTTGTTCTTAATCATATGAATCATTCTTGCTCACGCAACACCAACACCACAAGACAGTGGCTCAGAGGTTAGCACTGTCGCCTCACAGCAAGAAGGTTGCTGGTTTGAGTCCTGGCTCAGAGTGACTCAGAGGAGGAGTCACTCGCTGGCCCACTACGTTAGGTCTGCCCGCTGGTCAGCCCGCGTTTTTGAGTATAAGTGCCTGCTATGTGCCATCCCCTCTGGCAATCACCATATGCTTATTTTCTGCCACGGTTAAAAGTCCCCCCCCCCCCCCCTGGATGGACCCGTGCCTTCCCTATCTGCTAACCACCTTCTTATGCGCACTCCCCCTCCTTAGGGTTAGTCCATATGTAATTCCATTTTGTCTCCCTATTGGGTGCGGATGGTCTCTGCAGCGTCCTCCCTACCGGGATTGCAAGCTTCCCAACGTACTGTCGTATTTCCTAGAATTATCTAGACGCTAGCGACTCCCAAAAAATATACCTATTCCTTTAAGCTTCTTTTGAAGTAGGGATAAGTTAGGGCCAAGGGCACGTTGGAGGACCGCGCCTTTCATGATTTGGGTACGTCACGGTTGCCTGACTGCCCTCTCATCGGAGGCGTTGGTAAGGTGCAGTCATTATGGCGCTTTCAATGGCTCCCATACGTGGATTTAGAACATCAAATCCACTTATAGCACTGGAGTTCCCCAACCGAAGGGGAACGTTCGAGGTTACCGAAGTAACCCTTCGTTCCCCGAGGAGGGGAACGGAAGTGCTATACTCCATCGCCATAATGACTGTCCCTTAGCTGTTAACATCTCTTCAGCTTAAAAAGGATGGCGTTTGCTGGCGCCAGGTGTGCTTATATGCTCAGTTAATTGGCAATGCAGCACACCTGCGCAAACTTACGCTGCCAATTCATTGCTTTCATTGGCCCGTTCAATACTCTTTCAGACAAGCGGCTTCTGAACCGAATCCTCCCATACGTGGATTTAGAACATCAAATCCACTTATAGCACTTCCGTTCCCCTCCTTGGGGAACGAAGGGTTACTTCTGTAACCTCGAACGTTCCAGAGGATTATAAAATACACAGCAAGCATGATTTGCTTTCCCAGTTCAGTGCTGGATTCAGCTAAAATCTCCTCAAAGCAGAAGCTGTGAGCTACAAACAGTAAGTGTTTTCATTTGTTAAAATTGATCATGACATGTACAGTGTCTAGCGTTAACGGTATGCTGTAGCAACAATGTGAACAATGCGAAATGCTGCTTTGCGGGCAAGCGATTTAGCTACAAATTTATACTTATCAGTTAAACTGCTGTAAACACACACACACACACACACACACACACACACACACACACACACACACACACACACACACACACACACACACACACACACACTCCATCAGCAAGTTTGTGTCTCTTATGTGTGTGTGTGTGCGAATGCATTGATTGTCTTCAGGCAGCTTTTTCATTTTTTACCCTTGCATATTCCGGATACATGTGAAACATGTTGTATAACGCAATGGGGTAAAAAATATACAGGTTAGCTTACCTGACTTGTGTTGCAGCAGAATAATAAATCAAGGCTCACACAGGTAGCATCCCACATCTTGTGCTTTATTCTCCTGTCACGATATATTACAGAAAATAACTTAATCCGAGCATCAAAGAAAAAGAAAAAAAACTCACACACACACACACACACACATAGATGCAGACAACATTCACACACACACACACACACACACACACATAGATGCACACACATTGGCAAACACTCTTAAAGGAGCTGCACCCCATTTTCACTTGTTACAGACACTTGTCAGATTTTATTTTAGTGAGCAGGCAGGAGGTTGACTGATTGTTTACACAGCAGAAAAACGCATGCTTTTACGGGCGTGAAGTGGAGCCGATCCGCGAATAGCCGCCCATTATGATGATGACCAATCAGAGTCACTTAAGGGCGGGCCTTTCAGAGGAACTAGGAAATATGACCGTCACTTTCAAGATAGCTGAGTAGCTGTGTATAATCAAAGTGAGATTTATGAAAAAATAACACGATATCCTTCAAGTGAGCACACATTGCTTTGCATCTCATAAACACAAGCCTTAAAATTACATTCTGGAACACCCCTTTAAGAATGCAGGTATAAATAATGGGCTCAGTTTAACAGTCACAAACACTAGAGGTATTTTTTTTATTATTATTTCAGGTGAACCAATTTGATTCCCTAAAAAAACTTCTAAACATTTAGAAAACCTTTTTTTGCAGTGCAAATGTTCAATGGATTTGAAAGATTCTTCAGAAACATGAATACCAATAAGAAACTAGAGTATATTGTATGCTATGTGTTGTACTTTTTCATTTCTCATTCATTTGGCAACATTTTCCTGTTAATTACAGGTGCGGGGTTTATTTTTGGCTTGAGGTGCTCTAAGATGCTCTTTAGGATCTTCAAGCGGTGTTGTTTTAGATAATGACTGCAGAGTCCTCAATGACGTAGTCAAAAGTTCACTCAAACACTCAATGGTCTGAAAAGATGCTTATAATTATGACTAGCTGGAGTATATGGAAGTATAATGTGCATACTAATTGTATATGATTACTTTTCCTAATTAAAATATGAAGTAAAGTAGTAAAAAAAGAAGTGACTAAACATGCTATTCACAAATACAGAAGCTGCTACTAAGCTGTTGTTCCTTATTGATTATTCACTTCAGTTTTATGATGAATGAAGCTATTTTTTTACATCAGATGTCTATTTGTAGTTCACAATTAGATAAACAATTCTGTTTTAGTTCAGGCTTATCTGTCATTTCAAGAATTTATGAGAGATTCACATTTACATTTAGTGATAAAGAAATTCATTCATTCATTCATTTTCTTTTCGTGTCAGTCCTTTTATTAATCCGGGCTCGCCACAGCGGAATGAACTACCAACTTATCCAGCACGTTTTTACACAGCGGATGCCCTTCCAGCCGCAACCCATCTCTGGGAAAGTGATAAAGAAATACTTTCCAATATTTTTAATAT